TTCAGCAGGCTGGAGCGAGAAGGCTCTGCTTCATGATAATGGGGTCTCACTCACTGGTACACAGACTGCAAATTGAACCTATATGCATCAGAAGAAGAATGTTTTCACACCCAGATACGCACACACATGCATTTGTTTTCCTTCCTTGTGGGGAATTTACATTGACTTACATTCATTTCCTGAAGACTTAGCCTAACCTTAACCATAATCTTTACTTGCCTAACCTTAAAGCAAGTTGTCACCCTAAAAGACAATGATTTACATGGTGGGGACAGCGTCTGATGCCCCCCTCACATATGTACACACACACACACACACACTTAAACACAGGATCAGGGTTATTCTCACAGTGTAATGCTCAGGTGCACACAAATATGCACAAACATCATACTCGCACAGACACATGCCCATGGACCCAACAATTATACTCAAAGCATATTGAGAATAATATACCCTCTCTCCACTGTATCTCAATGGCTTATCAGCACGCATGGTCTGCTATCTGAGCAGCCAATTCCTTTCCCCGCAGCTCTGTTATCACTGCTTCTCACAACTGCCCACTGACAAGATACAATACATTTTTCTCCTTAGAGCTAAACTTCCAAAAAAATTGTTTTACTGGCACTGAGATGTTCTTTTAACTTGGATGGCATTCATCAGGCAAAAATGGGCTAATTCAAATCCACTTAATCAAAGTAACAAGTCAAGCTAGACAAAGAAATTGGGGATGTTACATTTGAAGACTTAGGTCTTGCCAATATGGCAATATTGCTATATAAATTGAATAGCTATACTTGTCACTTTTGTTGTATGCTGTCTTGATGAAGAAAGCCTGAGGGATATTATTATATTATATTTTATTTTACCGTATTGTTAATGGTGATGCCACCACTGACCAAAAACAACCTCGGTTTAAAACATGATCCTGGTCAATTTTGTGGGGAGTTTGCATGGTGGTTCTTTTTGTAGCGTGGACTTATGGCAGTGAACATGCACATGACCTGAAGTCGAAGCTTTGTGTATGTATATGTATGTATATGTGTCTGCTTATGTACCTTGTGGCTCTATATTTTAAACTGCTCAGGGTGTTCTTGTCCAAAGCATGCTGGGATGGAGGCATAATAGAAGCAGTCTGCCAGTACTGTTGCACATTACCATAGATGCGGTCGCTCACATTTTTCCTTCCTCTGGTACAGCCCATTTTGTAGCTGAGCAATGGGATGATGGCCTTGCCTAACATCTGTTCACCACCTGTGCAAAACCTTCATGTCATGTTGCTCTGCTGTTGATCATATTTGATGATTGTTTTTAGTTGTTTGGTGGAATATTAAACTCAAGCTCCTGAGCATGTTTTAAGTACTATAATTTCTGTAATGACTTTCCTGTTGTCATACAGTAGATAAAGGTAAACATGACACCTCCTGGTTTTTCCTCAGAGGTGAGCCACGTGAGCGCTTTCTCTCCACTCACTTTTATGTTCTCTGCCTCTGTTGCTCTCTATCTCACTGTGTGTGCCAGAGCAGTTTTCCTCTGGTGTGCCTTCAGACAAGCTGCACTTCTCTGTGATTTACTACAGGGCCTTTTTCCATAGTTAGAAACACAGAGGGTGGCCCAGGAGCACTAGAGGTTTGCTATGTCTCAAAGAAAAATCATTGTATAATCAATTTGTTAGTAATTACTATTACAATATTGAGTGGCATTAGATTATTGTATCAAAACTGAACGCCTTGTTGAACCTCTTATCTTTGAGATCAGTCTTCACTGGAGCATAATGAATCATTTATTTGAATTTATCCAAGACAGCACTTGCTGTAATAGCACACAAAATGTTGGATCAAACACGGGTCAGTGCTTTCTGCATCTGTGGTAACAGCCACAACCCCTAGCCACTGAGGTGGAAAGCCAAGTGGGTTTGCAATACAGAACAATCTGTAACTTTATGATTCTGGCAGACTTTATCATATGTGTGTCCTTTTTGCCCTATCTCAAAGGAGTAACTGAAATGGGGAGGTGGACGCATCAGACCAAAAACCCATTTCCCTTTGATACTGTAGATGGTTGTTTTGGGGGCTCAGTGAGAACACATTTTAGCCTCTCTACCTCTCTCTCCCTCAGCCTGTGAGTTTCCAGAGCCTCTGTTCTTTCTCTGACTCAGCCCCTAGCTTTGGTGTCTGCTGCTGGAAGATTGCGCCCAGAGGGGTTTATGTCAGCAACACATAAGATGCCAGATTGGCCAGTGCTGTTCCAAGTCAAACTTCTCCAGATGCATTTTCTGTCAGTATTACATAAGCTTATGATGCTGCTTCCAATAAGGACACATTATAGTCAACTGACAGAAACTAATCATGGGAGAACAGCTCGCTAATGGCAATCTGTCCAAGGTGACTAATTGGTTTAATACATAATATTTGTTGGTTTCCCAAAAGAGAGGCAAACAAACTACAAAAAGGGACCCACAGTGGAAGGCAGTCCTTGAGCCATTACAGCCCATTAAACCGCTCATCTCTGTATTTTTTCCCCTAGTACATATTTTGATGTGCTAAGATATTCTGAGCTTTGCTAGGCAGTGTGCCTGTGTGATGAGTCACCTAATGATTCTAGTGCGGGCTATAAGGAGAAAACAAAATTCGTCTGTCCACGTTTAATAGTAAAAGGTGATTCTGACTGGGGCCTATAACTGCTCCCAAGACTTTGGACCAAGTGTTTCTACATTGCTATGAACAACGGGCTTTAGATTACTGCCTGCAAAAGACAGCATGATTACCAAATTACAGGTAGATACAAGAGACCAAGATGTAAAGTTGGGGAATAAGGGTCAGTCACTAATACACAATTAAACGTGCCAAAGAATTGGAGAACATTCATACTGAAACTCGGTATATAAGTTAAATGGTGTTTACCTATTATTTGGCTCCAGAGAGGGGAGTGTCAGGTCATAAAATTTCAGAGCCTCACAATAAGCAACACAATTTTCCAGACCTAACCTCCCCTTAAAACAAAGCATCCCTGAACCCTGTCCTCACCCAAGCAAAATGTGATAAGTGGCTTGACACACAGTATCTGCAGTGTATTTTCTCAGGTTAAGTGTTCTGTTTAAATGTACTACACGTTCCTTCTGTTCGGGTCCAACAGGCCCGGAGAATCTTTATGGATTCAGAAGTCCACATCTACAAACAATTTTGCACTGGGTGCATCTCTCAGTCTCAGAGCACAGACTGTAAGTTGCGTGGGGATGACTAACCTGTAATGTGCGTGACGTTGGTGACGTGTGCGCCGTCCTGAGATGCACGTCGCTGACGCACTCCTCCACTATATCCATATTAGCTTGGCTCGCCCTGCGGTAACCACAACATAATAAATTACAAATGTGAACCACTATCTAACACTCCCAGAGCACATTTTATTATCAAACAGACTGTATTTTACATGAATTACCAACCTGTGACCGGCTGTGCCATTCCTGAGACGCGCCTCACTGACGCTCCTTTATCCTCTCTATGCGCGTTAGCGAGGCTCGCCCTGCGGTAACCACAATGTAATAAATTACAAATATGAACCAGTATCTAACACTCCCAGAGCACATTTTATGAAACAGACTGTATTTTGCAAATGAATTCCCAACCTGTGACCGGCTGTGCCATTTCTGAGACGCGCCTCGCTGACACACTGCTCTGCTCGTTTTACGCATTATTTTAGCTCACCCGAGAGTAATGTTGTCCTCCAATTATGAAATTTCTTCGTCTGCTTCAACATCAGAATCTTCTCTCGCCTAAAAAT